TATGGTAGAGAGATTTGACTATGGTGCATTGCCAGCATAAAGTAAGGGTTTGAGATTTGGTCCTTTCTGGATGGGGCTCGAGGCAGTCTCTTCCAATAGTCGTGGGGGAGGAGGTTGCCGCTAGGCAAACTGTCTGAGAGTAGGCTAAGCTCCTTAGTTGGAGAAATCTGAAGTGATCAAAGGAGGTCAGGGTTTTGGAGGCCTGAGAATGTGATTAAGTCCCCAGTCTCGTGATATCTCAGTGCTCGAAGTGGGTGTAATGTTTTGGTTTAAATCCTGGGGAAAACATTTTGTTTCGGGGTTCAATGTGATATGCCTGAGGATAGGTTGTATTTGTCCCGTAAGCGGTCCTGTATTTTATGTCTATATTCATTTACACCAGATGGTCTGCACTATTTGTATCTGAGTTATTATTCACAGAATATTACCAGAAGACCCACTGTTAAGTACAACTTAAAGAATGCTGTTTAATTGATATTTCAAACAGGGCACAGAGCCCACAAACTCTCTGAACCTTAATCGCTACAACAAGCTGTAATAATACAATGACCTGCAGTGCTTATGGTTCATGTAGTGTATGTTTTATAATATCTGTAATTCCCAAATTAACTTTCACACATACTCTTATTTCCAACCTGATTTACCTCGTCTCTCCTCCTTTTCTCCCCATCAGGATCTGGTTAAAACCCACCTCCTTTTCGCAGTCCGTGAAGAGGTTGAGTTTTTAAAAGAACAAATTAAAGATCTTACAGAACGGAACAGTCAGTTGGAGCATGAGAACAATCTATTGCGGTCTCTTGCTACACCACAGCAGCTGACTGAATTGCACTCTCGTATCCAAGCATCAAGAAAAGGTCTTTGAGCATTAATTCATGGTCCAATTGACACCCTCCAAGGTGACTAACAGCCTCAGTTTTCTCTAACATTGGTAAAGAAAAATGGAATACAGAGGAACCATCATACTGTGACTCAATGAGGAGCAGTCACTCAGCAGAGAAGACTGGCTGTCTCACACTCCGAACGGTACTGTCCCAGAAAACACTACTATACAATGAGGAGGAATGTCTACAGAACTTGATTAGCCACCTCCAGAACCATCTCTTCCAAACACCTCCAAAAATACATCAAAGCACAGAATGATACAGCAGAGAGTGTGGACAGGACGTCAGCAGTGGTCAGGTGTAAGGAATAGTGACCAACGACTGAAAATGTACTCGGGATCGCCATTCAGGCCTAGAAAGGAGATCTTTGGTTGACCAGGGTATGACCCTCGCAGGAAGAGCGTTCTCAACTAACAATGCCAACTAACTGCAACTGGTTAACATAAATGGTAATAATATTTAATGTGAGTAATTTCTGTACACAGGAAGCATCGCTCAAGGTGGTTATTGGGGAGAACCTATCATGTCCCACTCCATAGTTTCAGCTGTTTTGTTTGTGAATATGTGACTATGCAACTTTACAAGCCTGATGAAGGCCTTCCAACTACATGGGGAATTGGTTAGTATTGACGGTACCATACGTATATCAGTGACTAAACCTCAAACTGTATAGTTTTCTAGTGATTGTCTTGGTGTCTTCAGAAGTCATTGTTAAACATCCAATGCCCAGGAATGTGGGCAACCTTGAACCAGCTCAAACATATAGATTATTTTTGTGCGTAGTTTGACCTTGAATGCAGACATACACTATTAGTAAATACCTTGCCGTAGAGCATGCTGCCTGAGAAAATCTGGCCTCGTTCTGAGGCACTGGATATCCTCACTGCTCCGACCTATCGAGATAACATTCCATTTATAGATTTAACTACATTAGGAATTGGTAAATCAAGGGGCTGTGAATCTGAGAAAAGAGCTAGAAACTAATATCATGCCAGCTGCTATCTTGGGTATGGCAGAGTCTGGTTCAGCAGGAAGAAATCACGTGTACAGAGATATGACTGTATGTGCCTATTTCACATGGATATGGCTGTATGTGCCGATTTCACATGGAATTATGGAATCAAGAAAAGTTATTAAAAAAAAATTTCTAGCAAGAGGGACTGAAGGGAATGCGTGATATGTGACGCTAAAACGAACTGCAGCAATGCAATATAACCATGCATCAGATATGCAGATATGGGTGGTAGAGCAGTACGGCTGCAAATAAGGGAATAGCTGGATACCAAGGGAAATACAATGCAGCTGAAATGATAAACAGTTAGTTAGCTATAATGGAATGGTATTATAGTATGTACCCAGGATTTCCCATAAGGCCACCAAGGACGTTGCCTTTGGGCGGCATGCATGAGATATCCCTCACTGGACAGCCCATTCCCATGCCGAGGAAGCTGGTCACTGTAGCAGTGTGTGCCATGTCCAGCCCATTCCCATGCCAAGGAAGCTGGTCACTGTTGTAGTGTGTGCAGCGGCCAGCCCATTCCCAGGCCGAGGAAGCTGGTTACTGTGGCAGTGTGTGCAGCAGCCAGCCTATTCTCATGCCAAGGAAGCTGGTCACTGTAGCAGTGTGTGCCATGTCCAGCCCATTTCCATGCCGAAGAAGCTGGTTACTGTGGCAGTGTGTGCAGCAGCCAGCCCGCGTGACTTCAGACTTTTTTATCTTCTTCTGGCAGGGCCAAAAAGAAGAGAGCCGGCAATGCTCCCCATCTCTATTTATATGTACTGTATTGCAGAACATAACATTACTTTAACACACATGGATTAAAGGGACATTATAGTCACCAGAACAACTACAGCTTATTGAATTTGTTCTCGTGAGTAGAATCATTACTTTCAGGCCTTTTGCTGTAAACACTGTCTTTTCAGAGAAAATGCAGTGTTTACATGACAGCCTAGTGATAACTTCACTGGCCACTCATCATATAGCTGTTAAAGATCCTTCCTGGGTCCTGGCTACCTAAAATGCATCCAAACATTCAGTATCTCCTCCCTCTGCATGCAGACACTGAACTTTCCTCATAGAGATACATTGATTCAATTAATCTCTATGAGGAGATGCTGATTGGCCAGGGCTGTGTTTGAATCATGCTGGCTCTGCCCCTGATCTGCCTCCTTGTCAGTCTCAGCCAATCCTATGGGGAAGCATTGTGATTGGATCAGGCTACCACTTCTGATGATGTCAGCAGACAGCTTGCTAATGTGAGGCAGACAGGGGAAGAGGCAGCAGCTTCAGGCTTGAATACAAGTAATGATATACCACTTGTGTCAGAAACACCTTATTGGAAAAAAAGGAGAAATAGGGGTAAATAAGTTAAACTAGTCTACCCTAGTAAGATATTTGCATGTAGAAAAGGACTCCTCCAGGTCCTCAATCATAGAAAATTCAAATACCAAAAAGCAGGTAACTAGTAAGATGTTGCTATATACAAGAATACAAGTGAGATGTTGCTATATTTAGGGGGGCATGAGGGGCCCAGGATGGCTAGATGCTAGTTTTAACACTATAGACAGACATGTATTCCTGACCCTATAGTGTTCCTTTAATATATGGTGGGCTTATTGAGGAAATAGGACTGGGGCAGCAAGGAGGGTAAAGCAAGCCCTGCCTGGGCTATATGAGTAATTTAACAGTATGATTGGGTAACCTAATGGTACAGCTGGGTAATAAGGGTAATATAACAGTATGGCTGGGTAATAAGGGAAATATAACAGTATGACAGGATAATAAGGGAAATATAACAATATGATTGGGTAATAAGGGAAATATAACAGTATGACACGGTAATAAGGGAAATATAACAGTATGACATGGTAATAAGGGAAATATAACAGTATGATTGGGTAATAGGGGAAATATAAAAGTATGACACGGTAATAAGGGAAATATAACAGTGTGATTGGGTTATAAGGGAAATATAACAGTATGACAGGATAATAAGGGAAATATAACAGTATGACAGGGTAATAAGGGAAATATAACAGTATGACACCATAATAAGGGAAATATAACAGAATGACACGGTAATAAGGGAAATATAACAGTATGAAAAGGATAATAAGGGAAATATAACAGTATGACGCGGTAATAAGGGAAATATAACAGTATGACAGGGTAATAAGGGAAATATAACAGTATGACACTATAATAAGGGAAATATAACAGAATGACACAGTAATAAGGGAAATATAACAGAATGACATGGCAATAAGGGAAATATAACAGTATGATTGGGTAATAAGGGAAATATAACAGTATGACACGGTAATAAGGGAAATATACAGTATGACAGGGTAATAAGGGAAATATAACAGTATGACACCATAATAAGGGAAATATAACAGTATGACAGGATAATAAGGGAAATATACAGTATGACAGGGTAATAAGGGAAATATACAGTATGACAGGGTAATAAGGGAAATATAACAGAATGACATGGCAATAAGGGAAATATAACAGTATGACAGGGTAATAAGGGAAATATAACAGTATGACAGGATAATAAGGGAAATATAACAGTATGACAGGGTAATAAGGGAAATATACAGTATGACAGGATAATAAGGGAAATATAACAGTATGACACGGTAATAAGGGAAATATAACAGTATGACAGGGTAATAAGGGAAATATAACAGTATGACAGGATAATAAGGGAAATATAACAGTATGACATGGTAATAAGGGAAATATATAGTATGACAGGGTAATAAGGGAAATATAACAGTATGACAGGGTAATAAGGGAAATATAACAGTATGACAGGATAATAAGGGAAATATACAGTATGACAGGGTAATAAGGGAAATATAACAGTATGACAGGATAATAAGGGAAATATACAGTATGACAGGTTAATAAGGGAAATATAACAGTATGATTGGGTGATAAGGGAAATATAACAGTATGACACGTTAATAAGGGAAATATAACAGTATGACAGGATAATAAGGGAGATATAACAGTATGACACGGTAATAATGGAAATATAACAGTATGACACGTTAATAAGGGAAATATAACAGTATGACACGGTAATAAGGGAAATATAACAGTATGAATGGGTGATAAGGGAGATATAACAGTATGACAAGGTAATAAGGGAAATATAACAATATGATTGGGTAATAAGGGAAATATAACAGTATGACACGGTAATAAGGGAAATATAACAGTATGACACGTTAATAAGGGAGATATAACAGTATGACAAGGTAATAAGGGAAATATAACAGTATGACACGGTAATAAGGGAAATATAACAATATGATTGGGTAATAAGGGAAATATAACAGTATGACACCATAATAAGGGAAATATAACAGTATGACGCGTTAATAAGGGAGATATAACAGTATGACAGGGTAATAAGGGAAATATAACAGTATGACAGGATAATAAGGGAAATATAACAGTATGACAGGGTAATAAGGGAAATATAACAATATGAAAAGGATAATAAGGGAAATATAACAGTATGACAGGGTAATAAGGGAAATATACAGTATGACGCGTTAATAAGGGAGATATAACAGTATGACAGGATAATAAGGGAAATATAACAGTATGACACGGTAATAAGGGAAATATAACAGTATGACAGGATAATAAGGGAAATATAACAGTATGATTGGGTAATAAGGGAAATATAACAGTATGACATGGTAATAAGGGAAATATAACAGTATGACAGGGTAATAAGGGAAATATAACAGTATGACGCGTTAATAAGGGAGATATAACAGTATGACAGGGTAATAAGGGAAATATAACAGTATGACACCATAATAAGGGAAATATAACAGTATGACGCGTTAATAAGGGAGATATAACAGTATGACAGGGTAATAAGGGAAATATAACAGTATGACAGGATAATAAGGGAAATATAACAGTATGACAGGGTAATAAGGGAAATATAACAATATGAAAAGGATAATAAGGGAAATATAACAGTATGACAGGGTAATAAGGGAAATATACAGTATGACGCGTTAATAAGGGAGATATAACAGTATGACAGGATAATAAGGGAAATATAACAGTATGACACGGTAATAAGGGAAATATAACAGTATGATTGGGTAATAAGGGAAATATAACAGTATGATTGGGTAATAAGGGTAACCTAATGGTATAGCTGGGTCATACATGAAATATCACAGTACAGCTGTATAATAAGGGAAATATAACCGTATGGCTGTGTAATAAGGGTAACATATCAGTACAGCTGAGTAATAACGGTAACATATCGGTACAGCTAAGTAATAACATAGAAACATAGAAACATAGAATGTGACGGCAGATAAGAACCATTCGGCCCATCTAGTCTCCCCAATTTTCTAAATACTTTCATTAGTCCCTAGTCTTATCTTATAGTTAGGATAGCCTTATGCCTATCCCACGCATGCTTAAACTCCTTTACTGTGTTAACCTCTACCACTTCAGCTGGAAGGCTATTCCATGCATCCACTACCCTCTCAGTAAAGTAATACTTCCTGATATTATTTTTAAACCTTTGTCCCTCTAATTTAAGACTATGTCCTCTTGTTGTGGTAGTTTTTCTTCTTTTAAATATAGTCTCCTCCTTTACTGTGTTGATTCCCTTTATATATTTAAATGTTTCTATCATATCCCCCCTGTCTCGTCTTTCCTCCAAGCTATACATGTTAAGATCCTTTAACCTTTCCTGGTAAGTTTTATCCCGCAATCCATGAACCAGTTTAGTAGCCCTTCTCTGAACCCTCTCTAAGGTATCAATATCTTTCTGAAGATACGGTCTCCAGTACTGTGTACAATACTCCAAGTGAGGTCTCACCAGTGTTCTGTACAATGGCATGAGCACTTCCCTCTTTCTACTGCTAATACCTCTCCCTATACAACCAAGCATTCTGCTAGCAATAAGGGTAACATATCGGTACAGTTGGGTAATAAGGGTAACATATCGGTACAGCTGGGTAATTAGGGTAACATCGGTACAGCTGGGTAATAAGAAATATATAACAGTATGGCTGTGTAATAAGGGTAACATATCGGTACAGCTGGGGGTAATAAGGGTAACATTTCGGTACAGCTGGGTAATAAGGGTAACATATCGGTACAGCTGGGTAATAAGGGTAACATATCGGTACAGCTGGGTAATAAGGGTTGTAGTATAAGGATATACTAATAGGGGTGATATATTAGTGCAGATAATAAGCTAACTGAAGAAATATAAACTGGTAAATTTTAAATAAAAAGGGAAACACTTTGAGCATTGATACGTGTCCGTCGGTCTAGTGGTGTGCCATTGGAATTGGATGTTTGGGACTGGGTAACATTGTGTGCAAATGTCTATACACTAAAAGTCTGAAAGTAACTATACTGATAAATAAAATGTTTTTACAAAATTCAGTTCATCGAAGATTTTGCATATATATCATGGTGTCTTCTCATGGTGACCTGCACACCCTCATATGGGCTATGTATGCATTTCACACATATGTTCCATCCACACACGTGTATTCTGTAACAAGACACTGATGGCAGCTATGACGGCACTCAGAGTACACGGGACACACAGGGCTGTCCTTGTAGCGGAGCTCCCTGTATCCCGGCTGGGTACCTCCGCCAAAGGACTGCTTTCTAGCTGGAACAGGGAAACGGATGGGGAACTAGTTCTCTTGGTCCTTACAAGGACTTTCCCCGCTGCATCCCCTGCAAGCTGGAACAGCAGACACAGGGGTTAAATCTTCCTTTCCTCCAGTAACTAGATGAGACACAGTTCTGGAGGTACAAACTCTGACAATCTTTATTTGGAACACACAACTTTTATGCACAGACCCCCCACAGGGGATCTCCATTCAAAGTAACATAAACCTGCCCCGGTGTCACTGTGTCTGCGAGATAATCAAGTTACCTCTCAGGTCCAGAGGGTAAACCTTCCCATGATCCTCTGTGCCTGAGAGATAATTAAGTTCCCTCTCAGGTCCAGTAAAATCTACAATAGTTCCAAACCCCCACATACACATTTTAACATTACAAAAGGGGTTAACTGATTCAAGGACAGAGCTTACAACCTGAGTTACTCTTTGAAGCTAGGAACTCCAACAGAGCTATT